GGAGACGCTGCGCAGGAGGGCGCTGCTCGAGGCGGCCGGCGCCGCGGGGCTGCCCGCCAAGTGACGGCCCCGCCGCCGCCCCGCGGGAGCGTCGCGTCCCGCGCCAAGGCTGCTGCTCGCGGACTGCACCGCGACCGGGACAACCCCCCGCCGCGGCGTTCGGCCGGTTGTGGGCACCGTAATAAAGGTGACGGCGTTTGCGAGCGGAGTGCGACACCGTGACTGGGGCCGGGGGAGCCGGGCTGCTGCCCCCCGCCCCGCGGCGCCGGTTCCTGGCCCTTTCCCTAAGGAAGGTTCTTGCTCCAAGCAAGGAGGACGCGGCTCTCGAAAGGGACAGGGGTTTAATGACAACTTATTAAAAAACCAGCACAGACACAAGGCGGGGGCGGCGGCGCCGCGCTCGGGGGGAGGCTCCTCGCGGCGGCCGGGTCCGAGGCAGGAGCGAAGCTGCAGGGCGGAGGCTGCAGCGGGGCCGGCGCTGCCCCGGGGCCCTCGCTGCTGCGCCCGGGCACCCATGGGTGCCGTTAGAGGGTGCTGCCGCCAGCACCGGGGCGCGCTTTACCTGGCCCGTCACTCCTGGGTCTCCATGCTCTCCTCCTCCTCCCCTGTGGCYGTTTCTTCTTGATTCTCCTCCTCCTCTTCTCCTTCCTTCTTCTCCGGGGGCTTCTCGTAGGCCTTCTCGGAAGGCGTCACGATGACCCCGTCCCACGTGGACATCTCGGAAGCCAGGTCTGCAAGGGGGGTTAGGGGGCGCAGTGAGCGGCCCCCGTGCCGTGGGGCAGCACGAGGGGCTCCTCTGCTCCCTTTCGGGGGGTCAGGGAGCCAGGCCCAGCCATCCCCATGGAGCAAATCCGCGGGGWTGGCGAGCCCCCCGCCAGCGCGGGCCGCACGTACAGCTGGCGTCGCCCTCCTGGCCCAGGATCTTCCTGTAGCCGCCGTGGGAGAGGATGCGGACGAGCGTCTGCGCCGTGTAGCACACCATGTCCTGCGGCGGGGCACGCGGTGAGGGGCGCCCCGGGGAGCCCCCCGCGGCGCGGCGCCCCGCGGGCCGCCCGCAATCACCTGCTGCTCCAGCGTCATGACGGTGTGCACGCGGAAGTTGCCGCTCTCGCAGGGGTCGGTGATGCCCACAGAGCCGGGCAGGAAGAGCCCCGCGGCCAGGATCTGGAGACAGCGCCTGCGGGCGCCCCGCGCCGCGTGAGGAGCGCGCCCGCCGCCGCGGCAGAGCCCTCCGCACCCGGCCACGGGCGGCACCGGCACCGGCCGCGCTCGGGCTGCCTCCACACCGCACTCCGGCTCGCCTCGTGGGGCACCCCGAGGGCTCGGGCGGCGCCCGGGATTCACACACGGGGAGCACAGACCTGTAGGCGACGTTCAGCGCCAGGGGCTGCCTCGTGGGGTTGTTCATCACGGCGTAGTGCCCCTGAGGAGACGCGGGAGGTGACGTTAGCGGGGGACACGTGGACGCGAGGGAGGTGCCGGGGCCTCGCGCCGCAGCCGGGCCCGCAGTCAGGGAAGGGCAGAGGGCGGCACCGTTGGYGTGGGGCGCCCCATCTGCACCCCCTCAGGCACTCACCAGCAAGTCCAGGATCCATGGAGTGAGCGGCTCGAATCCAGGGAATCGAATCCTCAGGTCCTTCAGCAGCCGGATTAGGACCTTCACTCTGCAGAAGGGGGACACGAGGCGGCGGCTGCAGCGGCGGGAGCTGCTCCCGCACGGGCTCGGAAGGGCCCCAACGGCCCGGGGACACCGACGGTCCTTTATTCCCTGCAAACGATTCCGACCGGGCCCCGGAGCTGCAGGTGCCTGGGGCGCGACTCACGTGGACTGCGACGCGTTCTCCTCGAACCAGCGCGCGTGCCTGATGGCAGCCAGAGCGCTCTGCAGCACTTTGATATCCACTGAAAGAAGCAGCGGAAACGCTCGCTTTTCAACCCAAGAGCGAGCCAGCTCCGAGCCCGCCGCCTCCCCTCTCCATCCAGGGYGGCCAGGGACGGTCCCCGCTCCCTCCGAGGCCCGAGGGCACCCGTGCAGGGCCGCGAGCCGAGCCCTTACGGTGCAGCTCCGGGTCCAGTTTGCGGAGGTTGGGGGGCACGGTGGTGATGAGGATCTTCACCGTGGCGTCGGCCGAGCTGATCTCRAAGCCCGTCTCGTTGGTCAGCATGGTCAGGACTGGGGGCAAACAGGGACACGGTCACCCGGGAGCAGGGCCTCTGCTGCCCGTCCGTGCCACCGAGGGGYACCCACCTTCGCCGGGATCCTGCGCCCTCAGGCTCTCCACCACCTTGTTTCCCAAGGCTGCCACRGCTTCCACTGGGGAGAAGCGGGAGCGCGGCGTGAGCGGCGCCCCGAGCGCGGCGCCCGGCGCCCCCGGCGCCACTCACRCGTGGGCAGGATCTTCAGGATGACCACCAGGTCGGCCACGTTGTGCCCCGTCATCATGGTGCCCTTCTTGTAGGAGCCCACCTGGCGAACCTCCTCGATTTGCTGCGYGCGAGGGCACAGGGAGGGCGGTCAAGGCACGAGCGAGCCAAAAAGCCCCGGGAATTCTCCTTGGGAATTCTCCTCGGGATGAGGTTCAGCACCAGCCTTGCGCTGGGCTGGAATGTCCTCTGCTCGGAGCTTCGCTCAAGTACAAAAGCCTGACTTACCACTTCGAAAGTTCCCGGCGCGACRATGAGATTGTCGATCACGTTGTTTATTTTGGTCACCAGAGAGAGGATAGAAGCCTGAAGGGCAATCAGAGAGGGGTGGTCAGAGGCCGCTGCCCAGTCCAACCACGCTCCCGACGTAAAGATAACCCCACCCCAACTGATAACCCCAGGAGCTATTCAATAGATCAAAACAGAGATGCTTAGAAAGCATCGTTCAAGAACCACCACCCGTTTCTGCCACAGCCCCGTTTTGGGGACAAATAGTTGCCCTTAGACTGGTCAGGGCTACTGTATGAGCTGTATTCCAAGAAGAAGCTCGGGTGTCTCCAATGCTGCGGCGACCTCGAGCAATTTAAGGCAATTTTCTGCAATTTCTCCTAACCTGCTCAGCGGCGGTGGGGGCGAGATCCTGGTTTCTCTTCAGCAGGGCCTCACTGAAGGCCGTCTCGTCGGCGGCRGGTTTCACGCGGGGAAAAGCCATTTCGCACTGAAACGGGAGCAGCCGTCAGGCCACGACGGCCCGGCAAGAACCGGGCTCTGCTCCAAGCCCCTCGCCAGCCCCGCAATAAAACATCCCCGTCCGCCAACTCCCCGCTGCCTGGCTCTTGGGTTCACTGCTTTTGTAATTTAAGTTTTCCAGGAAGGGCCTGTGGTTCCGTTGCTCCCTGTGAGGGCCGACACCACCAAGGAGCCTGGAGAACACGGAAAACCAGCAGCCACCCCAAGCAGGTCTCGCTCAGGCTGGGTCCCGAGCCGAGCGCCGTCGCGCTCTCTGCTCTAACCAAGCTAAGCCGTGGCGTTAAGTCAGCAACTGAGCCTATAAGACAGCATCGTTAACCCCCAGAAACGCCTCCTGCAAGCAGCCCCCCAGGACGCTGCTACTCACGACATAGAAATCAAAGGGGATGTGGGGCACAAAGGGCCGGAACCTAAAGGGGGAGAGAAAAACCAGACTTTATTCTCTGGGGGGGGGGCCACGCGCCGCCTCCCGCCACCCCCGTCCCTCGCACATAGCGTCAAGCTTCGCCCCCGGAGCCGGGGGACGGGGAGCTGCCTGGGTGCCCGCCGCCCGGCGCTGCCGCGGCCCCGGCCCTGCGCTACCCTGGCGCTATGGCCCCGGCCCTGCAGCCCGGCGCGGCGGCCGCGGTCCCCCCGCCCCGCTCCTGCTGCGCTGGGGGGGCCTCCCTCGCCAGAGCAGAAGCCAGACTCGCCCACTGCCAGGGCCTCCCCTGGAACCAAAGCGTCCGCCCCGGCCTCGGCCTCGGTCGCCCCTGYGGAGAGAGGAGGAGAGAGGCGTGAGGGGCGCGACACGACACGACGGACCGGACCGGGCCCGCCCCGCGGCACCGGGGGACCCCCGCCCCCCCACCGGGGCCGGTCCCCGAGGGGCTCCTCGTCCCCTCCCCCCCCAACGGGGCCAGTCCCCGAGGGGACCCTCATTCCCCCCCCCCCGCACCGGGGCCGGTCCCCGAGGGGCCCCTCGTTCCGCCCCCCGACCGGGCCTGGTCCCCTC